AGGCCAGGGGCTGGGAGTCCATCAGGACAGCTCTGCAATAACCTACTAAGAGAGGCGGGGGCTTGGCCCAGGCTCAGGGGGCAAAGACTCATGTCTTGTGTCTAGGAATAAAGTTTGAAAATGGAGATGGCAGGACTTGTAGGTGACTAGGATACAAAACATGAGAAGAGGCAACTGTGATTCCTCAAGGGTGGTGACTTGCGCCATGGAAGAGTGGAATCACTGTGCATTGGGAAGAAGTCTGGGAGGAGTTGGAATCCAAGGGAAGACCAGGAATGTGGTTTGTGCATGCGGTGTTTAGGAGGTCGGGAGAGAGGTCTGGCTGGAGATGGAAATGCGGAGTCACCAGTGTGTGATGGCACAGGCAGCAGTGACGGGGGAGAGACAGCCCACGGAGCGGGTGCTAACCGAGCCCAGAGCACTCAAGCTGGAAGTGTGGGTGAAAAGGCGCAGCCAAGGAGGGGGCAGTAGGGAGGGATTGGAAGGCAGAGTGACGCTGTCTGAAAGGTGGTCGGGAAGAGCTAGCTTCATCCCGCCCTCGTCCTACATCAGGGGCAGTGTTTCTGCTCAGGGCAGAAATGGGGCTTCTTAAAGGCCACTGTATATAGTGTAGCCTTTGGAAGGTGATTAGGGACAACCAGGTTCCACCTCACAGGCAGGCCCTTGGCATGGTCTGTCTTTAGTCCTGTGTAGCTTTCCTAGAAACCTTGCCTTCCTATCTCCTCTCAGCTGACTGACTCACTCATTCACTCATTTATAACAAACCCTGCCTTAGTGACAGCCCATGTGTCTACGGACCATGTGTTAAATGTTAATTATGTACAGTGTTATCTACAATTCTTTTTTGATGTTGTTTGTTTGTTTGTTTGTTTGTTTTGAGACAGGGTCTCACTATGCAATTCAGGCTGGCCCTGAACTCACTATGTAGTCCAGGCTGGCCTCAAACTCATGGCGACCCTCCTGCCTCAGCCTTTCAGCTACTGGGATTATAGGTGTGCACCACTACTCCCGGAGGTACAATTCTTATTGGTTCCATAATCCTTGTCCCACTTTAGAGATGGGGAACTCGAGATAAAATAACATATCTTGAGTTGCACAAGTAGATTTAAATCCATTTATTTTTTTAATCTGAAGCCTGTAATCTTTGCCTTTGCCATGATTGCTTCTCTTGTCTTTTACTCACTCAATCAATATTTGTAGAAGGTGTGACATGTGTCAGCCACACACTAAGGGCTGGCCCTATGGGGACGGACATAGCAGACTTCATCTCTCCTCTGCTATTGTCTACATCTTCCACTACTTTATGAAAACTCCCCCCGGATAGCAGAGCTTACATTCTCCAGGTCCCAACCAGCCCTTTTCTAGAATCTTCTCCACCTCCTCCATGTTGATTCCTCATTCAGAAGATGCCTAATAAATCTTGTATATTCTTGCAGGACATATTTTTGAGGGCGACATTTCAGGTTGGGCCTTGTACATGAGGCATTGTGGAAACCAACGAGTCAGAGGTGGGTTGGACTTGCCCTTGTGTGGGAGTTTTCAGCCCCAAACACTGGTATTTTGTGCTTGTCGTTGCCAAAACAATTTAGGAGGGAGGTTGGGAAGAAGGCAGATGGGATTAAGGCCAGGTGTGATGTTCTGGATTCCAGCAACTCAAGTTGGCACTGATGTGCTTGTGAGTTAGCACACACATGGAGCTGGGTGCCAGAGAGAAGGGGCCCTCTCTCTGCTGAGAGTCAGTTTATTAGGGAAGGGAGACAGCTCCACTTCCAAGGGGCAGCAGGGATGCAGATAAGGTACCCTTCGGCACTTTTTACCTAACACAGCACCGCCCATCTCTTGCAACCAAAGTGCACGCACACACACACACACACACACACACACAGGTGACTCTTCTACTATATATCCAGAAAGTTCTCATATAGAAAATATGTAGTGTAAAGACTACATATTAGAAGTCAATGTAAAGACTGTGGTGTCTTTACTTGTTTTTTTTTTTTAAAACCACTACCTTAAAACATCCTTTCAGCATGTGGTTATAGTGAACATTTGAACAAAAATGCAAGCATTAGTTTCTGGAACTTTCAAGAAAGGTCTAGAAGGGATGATGTAGAAGGGACTGATGAATCCTGTTCACTGTCAGATTGGCTCACGTCTAAAGACCATAAATGTCACTCTTCTCTCATCATGCAGAGAAAATTATTGAGGTGTAGAGTTAGAAAGGACGTGCAACCTCCAGATCACAGATTCTCTTTGTAGGTTCTGCCACTTACAGCTTTATGGTCCTGGCAAGCTTCTCAGCTTTTCTGAGCCCCAGTTCCCTCAACTGTGACATGAGGATGTCCTATCAGACAGGGCTGCTGAGAAGCTTAAATATGAGAAAGGGTACAATATCATTTTTGTCTTGTAGGTGAGCAGTAATGGTAGTACCTGGCCATTTAGTATACTATTAAGAAAGCCAAAACAAAACAAAACAAAACAAAAAAACACTCTCTCAGTGAGGGTTTTTCTTAGAAATTTTATCCTTCAAGTTATCCACAATCCAGTCTCATGCTGTAGACTCCGATCATCTCTCATGTTGAACACCTACTAAGTGGTGGAGCACCCTAAGTGCTTTAGATTTAGATCAATGTGAGTCTTGCAGCAGCCCTTAAAGCTGGGCTTCATCATCCCATGATCCATGTGAGCTCATTTGTATTCAGAGGGTTAATTGGCCACGAGCTTGGCTAATGATCTGCAGGGGCCACCCCCCAGCCCAGGCCCATGTGACCCCATAGAAGGCTAAGTGCTGTGAATGGGCTGAAGCTTTGGGTCTGGTGGGTTCTCCAATGTTTGCAGCAACCCAGACCAGACCAGGGTTTTCCTTTAGGGATCCTGGGGAGAGTTGAGAGTTTTTTCCTGTCTCAGGATTCTATTGTGTTGAGTTACCAGTTGAGTAGGGAGGTAACAGGGCTGAGGGCCTGTGTACCTCTTAAGGGACTATTTCCTTCTCTTTGCATGGTTGTAGAGAGCAGGAGAAGAATGTCAGTCGGCTTTCACAAACACTTGAGATAAGTAACTTAATAAAAGAAGGGATTATTTGGCTCAGGAGATTAAAGATTTGGATGCGTGTCACTCCGCCCTGTAGTGTGGCCCTGGGGTGACACAGCACTTTGTGGTGACCGCACAGTGCTAAGAAACCATCTAATATCCCCTCAGGGAACAGCCCCTGGACCTTGCTTCTCACCACCTCTTAGAGATTCTACCACCTCCCAGCACCATCACAAACTGAAAACCAAGCCTTTGCTGCACAGGCCAATCTAAACTACAGCAGGGAAGGTCAGAGATGTTGGCTCAGTTCTCCTGAAGTTGATGATATTATTCTCAGGTCAGGCCCAGGACCCCATCCTACCATAATATCAAAATTTTCAAGATTACTCCAACAAGTCAGGTACCATCCCAGTCACTAGAATGTGTCATGAAGGTAGTATTGTTTTTGCTATTTCATGCCTCTGGAGGAGGAACAGAGCAGAGCAGAAACTTAGCTTTGTGAATAAAGATGTGAACTATGATAAGAGGCCAGTTGCTTTATTTCCTCATTTGGAGATATTTTTACCAGTGAGAGACACTTGACTCAATTTCTCCATTTAGATCTAGGCTTAAAAGGGGCTGGGGATTTAGCTCAGCGGCAAAAGCACCTGCCTGGCAAGCGCAAGGTCGTGAGTTCGGTTCCCGGTACCGGAGAAAAATCAAAACCAAAACAAAACAATAGATCTAGGCTTAAAATTAGCCTAGAGACAGAGACCTGACCAACTTATCTAAATCTCATTGTCATCTTCTACTCATGCCCCCTGCCTTGCTACCCTTTTCCTCTCTAACTTATGCTTAATTAACTTTACTCTCATTTTCCCCACCAGTAAGGCACTCAAACACCACCTGGGAGGAGTCTGTCATTCAACAGTCACGTGGACTGAATGAGTAATGAATGAATAAATGAACCATGGATGAATGCATAATCCATGAGAAAAGTTTAGCACAGTGCCTAGCCCATGGTGGGTGAGAGATAATTTTGAGTTTTGTGATGCTGGCAATGATATCCACATGTTGTGGTGAGGCTGCGGCAGTGCGGATTGACCTCTGGCAAGCCCTGTATGATAATGACAGCAAAAGGTCTCCTCTCACCCCACCTGCCATTCTCTTCCCCACGCAACAGAGAGACCAAAGAACAGTGCTTCTGCCCACCCTGGCTCTCGTTTGCACTCTGTTGGGAACGGTCCACCCTCTTTCCTTAGCTCTTCAAACAACTCCAAATCCTTCCTATTAATGAGTCAGCGACTGACAGCAGCCTCATCCATGCATCCCAACCCAGCCCAGATCGCTGTCCATTTCTGGAACTCTCACACCTTTTTGCTGTCATACGTCTAACGTGTCTCTGCAATGCCTCATTTTATTCCTGACAATGGTCTCCCCAGAATCTAGCTCCAATATCACCTCCTCTGAGATCAAACCCAGATCTTCCAGGGGTTTCTACCTGTTCCCTCTTGGTTTCCATGCTGCATTCTTCTCTTTCCATTATGCCCCTTATCACAGGGCACCGTGCTAACCAGGCCTTTCCCCCTCAAGCTGGAGAGCTTTGCAATGGCAGGAGTCCTGCATATGGTGGATGGGTACAGGCAACTCTGGCTTGAATGTTCAAGCCTGGGGCCTCAGCTTCCAGAACTCCTTGGTCTAGTTCTGCCTCCTCTTTTACTGTCTTGACGACTTACTAGATCACATAATGCACAAGGCATCCAACCTGAAAAAAAAGGTCCTAATGATTGAATTTTCTTAAGCACAAACACCACAGACCTATGTGTAAAACTGTAAAGAGGGAATCTGGAACAGGTCATGTAAGAGATGACTTGGGGTGGTTGGAATTGAAAGTTGCCTGTAGACATTTCACCCACTGATATATGGAGCCAGGTTTATGATGAGCCAGGAGTTCTTTTGCAGAATTAGAGAAAACAAACAATGGTTGGACATATTTCAGAAAATGCTCAGAGCTTTATTATCCTTTTAATTCAGGAGAAAATGCCTTGCACTGAAATCACCAAGCTGGCTTTTCAGCTGGAGGACAGGTCTCCATTGCTCCTGAACCCGTAGCATCATGGGCCATGAAAACATACACTTAGCCAACAGTCTCAGAGAATCACACTTCAGGAGGTGAATAGAAAGCAAATTGGAAAACAAACACAAAAATTATAAAATCTGTTTAAATATTAAACTGCACACCCAAACACAAGGTCACTTCTCACGGGGAACTTGCAGAGCTTCCCATCGGACAGAAGGGCATACAGCCTCGAGTTACCTGGTGGGACTGTCTGTTCTCTTTGGCCTCATTAACAGGAGGTGGCCTGAAACATGCTGAGGAAGAATGTGCAGAGGGAGCTCCAGGACTCCCCACAGAAGTCCAGGGCCATCTTCCTCTGCATTTCCACATCTGGGTCATCCAAACATTTGGGGTCTCGGGTGGTTGCTGCCTTGGTCACGGCTAGGGTAGAGGAGACATCTCCTTTGGCCTTGTATGGCTCCTTGGAAGAATCCCCTTTGTTGTTAGGGTGCTCTGTAGGGGAGAGTTTTGATTCCAACTCCCCGGGCTTCATATTCTCAAGCAAAGTGGAGCTTTCCAGTTTGAAATTAGATTCTGGAAATTTCTTTTTGCACACCTTGGTCTTCAGGACATTCTTTGAGTCCCCACAGACGTTCTTCTGTTTGTGCAGTGTCCGTGCGATTTGTTTCCAGTAGACCTTCTCGCTGTGGTGCTTTAGGCACTCGGTTGGGTTGCCAGCAAAGACACAGGAAAACTTGTGCTGCTCCTGAGAGCACTGAACCCTCAGGGCGATTCCCAGCTCTTGCTCAGTCGTGGCCCATCTGCAGGTGGCTCCTCGGTCTCTGCTGACAAACTTACCGCTGATTGTGGACTTGGGTGTCCTGCTTCTCTGCCTGCTCTGGGCCTTGTCCAGAACTGATGGGTCCCCATCTGCTGTGCTGCTCTGTCTGTGCTTCGCTCCATGTTTGACCTTTTGTGTGAGCATCTGAGAGGCCAGGAGGAGGAGCGAGAGCAAGGTGAGGTTGTGGATCCTCATGACTTCAGCTGGGCAGGCACCTGTGGGACCAAAGGCAGGAGCATCAGTGCTGGGCAGGGCAGGGCTGCAGGCTGACCTACCACCCTGACACGTGCAACCCGCTTTAGGAGGAAACCAGCGGTCCTTCTGGCTCTTCGAATTGCTAAATGAGCAACTTGTCTGTTGACCTGAGTCTTGAGTGTCAGAAAACTACCCTGCTTCATCTTTCTCTTCCCCTCTCTCTGAGGTTCATGAGCTCTTTCCCTCAGTCCTGCCTGCATTTGCTCACACAATCACTCACGCATGCAAGAAGTGCTGGTTGTGCACTTACAACACCCGCTGCCCCACACTAGCTGTTGAACATACTATGGAGAAGAAGAGGGCCTCGGGTCCTAACAAGCTCACGGGCTACACTTTGACAGCCTTACAGAGCACTGACCACAGACTCTGTCTCATCTCCATCCTCAACTTGATCTTGGACAGGTCTCTGTCTCCCTGTAGGTCTTAGGTCCTTTACCTGGACACCAAGGTGTTGAGTAAAGTTACCACAAGCTTAAATGTCACATGGTCCCGCTTCTGGGAGAACTCCAAAATATAAATACATTAAAGAGCAAAATAAACGAGAAAATAGGAAACAGGGAGCTAGTCTTTTTCAAATGGGAAGGGGACCAAAAGAGAAAGGGAGGGGAGAGGGAGGGGAGGGGAAAGGAACATAAAAGGAATGAAGATGCGTTATGTACATGTGCCAGCTCCACACAAGGACTGTAGTCATTATGTACTACAAACATGTACTAATAAAAATTAAAGTTAAACAAGTAAATGAAATAACCACCAAACCCTCTTCCAGCTCCAGTGTGCTGGATTCCTACCTCACAGTTTGTACAGGCACGGATGCCCACAGAATGAGAAATGACGCGGAGTCATAGAAAAGTCACAAAAAGTGTTGACTCTGAGGTCAGGAATGCACGGGGCGTGACACCCCGAGCTGGGCGGGGCTGTGGGGTAGAAGGAGATTTCAGGAGAAATCTGGGAGGTGTCCTGGGAGGCCTGAGGTGGGGAGGCCATCTGACTTCTCTAGGCAAAGCAACCAGGGTGGAGATGGATGATTTTCAATCAGATCATTTGGACCTCGAGGCTAAGGGCAAGGATCACGGCTAATTAACTTCTGGAGCCTGAAAGTGACACAGCACTGGGTGCGCAGACAGCCTTAATCAATTCCTTCTGGAAAAAAACAAACAAACAAAAAAAAAAAACCCAGCATTGAGCGAAAAGGGTGACCTTCAGTGTCACACTAAACTGCACGGACATTTTCATGGGCAATAAAACACACACAAGGGGAAAAGAGAAGCCCGTGTCTATTTGACATCACTTATGTGCTAAGCACTGGGCTAATATTTGATTCTCACTTTGTCTAGTCCAGCCAAGAACCCTGCCACATAGCTATTAATATGACATCCCCAGGTAAGTGCTGGGACAGATAAGGCTCAGGCAGATAAGTCAGTCACTCAAGATTCGGAGCTGGTGCAGAGAGCAGGCCACATCCGTCATCCTAACCACCTCTCCCTGATCTGATCGTGCCCTAACCACCCCTCTATGATCACCTGATGCTTTGCTCCTGGATGTTCAGAAAATGCCGGCAAGCCGTAAGAAAACTAAGACCCATACAAGCCATAGATCACGATGATGACATAACTCACACAATCTACACTCTTATTTTCATACAGGGTTTTGTTTGAACAGGAGCAGGTCAGGGAAATGGCTGTGATCTCATTTGCATCTGGGAGTTTGTCCACCCCTGGGACTGAGAAAAGAAGGAGTCGCAGGAGAGGAGGCAAAAAAGCATTGAAGCGAGGTAGGAAGGTAGAGACTCAGTGTGTCACAGGCTCTGGGGCTCGGCCTTCACCTGTCCCTGATGGAATCCCGACCACAGGAACCCAGGGCCTCAGGCCACATGATGAAAGGCTTAAGAAAGCGAGGCTCTTACCTTGCTCTGTGTGTGCAGATCCAGCGCCGTCCCAGATACGAGAGTGGGTTGCGGGCTTCCAGGTGTCTCCGCCGCAGCACAGGGCAGGGTCGGCTATTTATACAGGAGCCCAGACCAACCACGGGGCTTTACAAGGCAAACTTGTGGAGCTTTATTCACACTCCTCCCGGCCACACCCCTCGCAGGGAGCCAGTTCCTGCAGGGAAAGTGCTGGGTGGAGTCCAGCGAGCAGGGGCTGTGTGGATGGAGGCCATCATTAGAGCAGCTACCTGCAATGCAAGCCCTTCCTCTTCCACCAGCGGCCAGGACAGGAGGCCAGCTCAGCCTCACCACGACCCTCCCTGATGAGGGCAGAGCTCTCGCAGTGGCATCAGTGGTGGAGGGAAAAAAATTACACTAAGTACAGGAATCCTGCCTTTTGCTTAAGTGCAGGCAAAGTGAAAGGGTGTGCAACGTGCCTGCGCATTTTACACCAGGGCAGGGTGGCACTGGGAGACACAGTGGTTGTCCAAATTCCCAGAAATGGGAAGTGGGGAATCTCAACTTATACCCAGGGGACTCAGAAACCATGGTCTGATCTCTTTCCCCTCTCCGGTCTCGATAAATATTTGGAGAGTGAGTGAGTGATGTTAGTTTCTGAGCCTGTTTTCACTGTGCTATCTGAAGCTACTGTGTGGGCAGAGGGTTCCACGGACCCTGAGAATCTAGTATAGAGGAAATTCTCAATATGGGGATTTCTGTTGGAAAAACTCACCTTCAGGTTATATACAGGGAGCTCACCCTGGTGAGCCTGCTAAAGCCAGAGCCTCATATCAAAATAACCTAGGTGGAGAACCTTTGTGTGGCTGAGTGACACTGTCCAAACTGCTAACCTCCCTGCGCTGCCGTCTCCCTCCCTGCGGTGTGCACATGACTACAGTGCCTCACAGAAGGCTGCAGACTGGATTCCTTCACTAGAAATGAACTGTTAACACAGAGCCAAGCAGGACAGTGCCGGTTCTCGATGAGAGCTTAAACTGTGTTCTTTGAAAACAGACATTTGTATTAGTGCAGAATATTAGATGTTCTGAGAATGATCCTCATTGCTAAGGAACTTGGTATTTTTTTATTACCAGTAACTGAATGCATATATCATCCAGTCTGGTTACTAGCACAGATTCAGGTTCAAAGCTAACATTACTACTATGTGTGTTGCTCTACACCGCAGCTTGACTGAGAGGGCTGGTGTGTTGATGTGATATGATATTGTATGATATGCTATGATATGATATGAGTGGGTCTGGTTCTCAAATGAGCCTTTAAGTGTGATATTATCAGGCCAAGCTTGTAAAACATCAGTCTCTTCTACAAATATAATCTCATGATCACAAATGTAAAAGGTGCTGATTTGCTGTGTTAAAGCAACACTCATTTCTTGCTTCAAATAATGTACATTAAAAACTACCCATTGCCAGAGAAAATGGGAAAACTGGTTAAACAAGCATCAGTGCAGTCTAACTAGTCTGGCCAAAAATATTCATCTTAGACCGTCTGGGGATAATTTGCACTCCAAATTTAAAGCACTCATTAGTACTAAGATTTCAGAGTTCTAGTTCAGCAAATCAAATGATACACAATGATAACGTTGTGCTTTTGAAAATTAAGAGACTGTGAAGTGTTGCTATTACAGCTTTGGGTATGAAAGTTTACTGGAATCCTATTAAAACTCATTTACTTTAGCAAGAATGCCCTTTCCAAAACACACGATATTCACCCATTTTGTTAGATTCAGTGTTTGACAATTGATTCTGGTTCTGGGTCCATTTAAAAAGTCACTTCTCATTATCATGTTCGGTTAGTCCAAGTGAAATCACTGTTTTTAGTAGATTAAAAATGCTAGCATGACCCAACCAAATAAAAATAGATATTTTTTAAATACTTTTTTCTTATATATATTTTGGAAGGCTTTTTTTTTTTTTTTTTTTTTTTTAGCTCTTTTGTAATCAACTTTCCCTCACAAACCATGCTTTTTAATGATCTCTGGCTTTTTAAAACATCTTTGTGTTTAAGGAAATCATTGTTCAGCAGCAAATATCCTTGAAAAAACTCTGCCCTCTTGGGTAAAATTTTTCATGAAACACACAGCTCTCCACACAGATGCACGCCTATGTGCACACATGAACACCCTTGCATACACATGCTTTACACACTCTTGCACATCCACACGTGCTCCTGCACACATGGCACATAAAATACACTCATGCACAGGCCCAGGCACACATTTCAGGGCACCAAGCTCTCCCTTTTGAAAGTTCAGCCTTCACCCATTTGTGTTACAAGAAGCAGCAGCTGTGCCCCTTTAAGGCTGGGATGAGGGTAGACGAGCTACCCTTTCTCCTGCTAAGGCTGAGTCACCATGCCTGGAGCGTGTGGCCCCAGGGCTACCTTCACACAAATAGGCCACAATGTTTGGAGGAAAGACTCCAGGAAACATCTCTGAAAAGGCCTCTCCTGGCACCAGGCAGAAGGGCGTCCACCCACAAAGAGCAAAAAGACTCGCCCCCTATAGGGTGCTGTTTAGAACACAAGAGCCAGGCAGTTAGACTGTGATAGGCTCTCGGAGGAACAGGGCTGGACCCTAATCAGGCTGCATCGTTCCACCAATCAGTCCCTGGTTCACCCATTCCTTCATGGATCCAAAGAGCACTCACAAAGTGCCTCCTTTGTCCAGACCCTCCTCTCAGTTACTGGCTGGCTGGGAATACAGCCGAGAATTCCACAGTCCATGCCCTCAAGGAAATAGAAGATGATGAGGGGGAAGACACGTTGATAAACGATGATAACACAGGGCTAATTGGCACGTTAGAGGGCAGCCCCTGGCGACCTGAGTGAGGACATCTAACCTAGCCAGGGGCAGAGAATTTCCCAACAGCCAGCAATTATGCAGAGATAGCTCCACAGTAGGGGAGAGGGGAGGCTATCCAGTCCTCCCAGTCACTGTCTGGTATAGAGGGCTTGCGTGTCCCTTCAAGACGACACTCACTACAGTTGATGGAAACAGCATTGGCTGTTTGATAGCTTCCTTGGAGGATCTGGGCTTCTGAATTGCGAACCAAGAAAAGCACTCAGACCAGGAGGATAAGACCAACACCAACAGGGTGGTGTGTAGCTGATGTACCGAGTTCATTTGGTGAAAGTTTTGAACAAATGGGTCCCGTATCAAATGAGCAGCTACATGATCAGCGGAACAATTTCTAGTTCATGATCGCAGGAGTTCATGATGGACCCTCCATCAGTCCCCTTGCCCTTGGGGGATAGGGCAAGAGAGAAAATATATAAGCAGGTTAAGGTTCAGTGGAAATAGGAACTCTTTGAGTGGTTTACTTGATTGGAATTTTAAAAGGGGCTGTTTGAGGAAGATTATGTCTCCCAACTAACCCAGTCATCAGGGACATGAAAGTTCCATTGAATGATTCTATCTCCGGCCCTTGAGTATTGTATTCAGAAAAGAAAACTGTGTGCCTCAATTTCTATTAGTAATGCCTGGAGTCCCTGAGAAATAAGGAGTGGCCTGGCGGGCCTTGTGTTGGGGCCTTTGTATAAGCAGAGACATGTGTGATTTTGATTCATACTTTGGATATTTGTGAGGCATGACATTCTCAGAATTTTTTTCCCCCCTGAAGGGGATCATTTTCAGGCAGTGGCCCAACAGCTTATAATAAACGTCACCCCATTGGTCAGAATACCCAGTACTAAGACGAACACCTGAAGTTCGGCCAAGTGCATTACTTCCTGGGTTCCACCCTTCATCAAAGACACCTGGCTGAGGGCTGAAATGCAGCAACACCACACCAAGCTCTGTGATACATAAAGCTGAGCAAAGCCCTGTACATAGCCTAGAGATTCTGCTGATGTTTAATCGGTCAATTGTAAGGGCTCCCCCAGTAGACGAAGGGTCTGGGAGGAGAAATCACCTCCTCCATCACCACAACACCCAGCAAGAGATGGGGAACATGGGAAACCAAAAGCTCCTGCAGAAGCGATATGCCAGGGGCTCAATCCCCCGCATCTCGAGAAACCCTCAGTAGCTGTGGCAAGCTTGAGGGATGCTGTTTCTTCATCCAAAGCTTAAGGGGCTGGGAAGGAAGAGTTATAGCAGTCTTGGGTCTGAGTCTCTATTTTCAGGCAAGCCCTACAGGTAGCCAATCAGTGTTGTCTGAATGGTGTTTGGCACAAGGCAATTTCGTGGACAGGAACCCTTGGCCAAATTACAGCTGCCACCACGCTCTAGAGACTCCAGCGAGTCAAGCTCCAGGGACTTGAGAGAAGTTGACAAAGCAGTGAGGGAGTTGCTATGCGCACGAATGGGAGTGTCTGTTGACTTCACTTTGCAAATAAAATTTGTCAGTGAGGAGTTTGTTGCCATCAGAACCCCCAAACACTAAGAGGTGTTAGACTTGTGTCTTAGTTACTTTCTCGTCCCTGGGACTTAACACTGGACACCTGCAACTTAAAGGGGGAGAGGTTTATCTTGGCTGTGCTTCAGAAGTGTTTGTTTTTATATGATGGCGGCATGGTGGGCGGAACGGGGAGGAAAGCTGTTCACATCATGGAGGCCGCAAGCCTAGCGAAGGGAGGCGCTGGCGGGGCGGAGGGGGAACATCTTTCCCAGTCACACCTGCCGAGGCCCCCTTCCTCAGACTAACTCCACCTCCTGACACCACGCGAGTCAATCACCCTTCAAACACTCTACCTATGAGCATGTGAGGCTCTTGGGGGGCAGCTAGGCATAAACCACCACAGCCTGCGTGTCCACAGCGAGTGCATCAGTCAGTCTCTTGAGAGGAAGATGTCATCAAGATAATGTCATACCTGTGTCCCTGCAGAAAGGGGAAATAGCTAAGATCTTGTCTTCAGGGCTTATGTACTCTGACAAAGCCGGCCAGGAACCCCATGGGTAGCCTGGAAAGGTATATTGTGTCCCTTCAGCAGGACAGGGAGACCACACCAGAGATGCTACTGCGAGAGGCAGCCATGTTGGCTGAATCTTTAAGGGCAAACTCTTGGTTGGTTATTGATTGGAGTGAGTCAGGAATTGTGAGAAAAAGTGGGGAACAGAAAGGGGAGGGGTCGAGTGCCCATAGGAAGAGCTTTTCCCTGGGGACCC